CTCTCTACCTCTCAACCTCTATCTCCCGTCTCTCTATCTCTCAACCTCTATCTCCGTCTCTCCTCCTCCACTGATGACGTCCAAAGACAGGCGAAATATCAAATAAACGTCACAACAATAAGGTCAGATTCCCTTATACGTGGGATCGAGGCGCCTCCGAGTGATCCCGGATCTGACGTTTATATCGATAATAATCTCAGGGCGTCCATCACCACACACACACCTCCCTCCCTTCCCCTTCCTATATCCCCCCTTCTATATATATTTTTTTGGAACCTGTGTCATCTCGGATATTTTCCTGGCTCGTATCGGGTTCCAGAGGTATTTTGTCGTGTTTTTAAATGAACCTTGTCTCTATGCAGGTAGGTGTGTGTGTGTGTGTGTGTGTGTGTGTGTGTGTGTGTGTGTGTGCTCTGTGACTGTACTCTAAAGTGTCCTGAAAAAAAAAAAATAAGGTGAAAAATATATTTGAGCGGATTACCTGTATGTAGTGTGACTTGGTCCTGGGAATAATATTTTGAGAGGTCTTTGTTGAAATAAGTTGCAAAATTCAGGTAAGGTTAGGTTAGGTTAGGTTAGGTTAGGTTAGGTTAGGTTAGGTTGGTTTAGGAGGAGGGAAGGGAAGGGACGTGGTAAAAAGAACAAGAACAACAGCAACAACAAAACAAGGAGATGGAACAGAAGAAGAAGAAGAAGAAAAATAACATAAACAAGAAAAAGAAGAAGGAGAACAAGAACAAAATGAAGAAAAAGAAAACAACAAAACAACAGGTCACTCCAGCGTTTGCATTCGGGAAGCTGAAAAAAAAGACCAAAGTGAACATAAATGAACAAACAGTGAGAGGGCAGGTGGGGGAGAGGGGAGGCAGGACGGGTGAGTGGGGGAGAGGTGGTGAGAGGGAGGGCGGGGACGGGTGAGTGGGGGGAGGGGAAGGAGGGTGAGAGAGGGAGGGGGGGTGAGAGGAGGAGGGGGAAAAGGGTGAGGAGAGGAAGAAGAGATAATAATAAAGCCCATAATATCTTCCTCTAAGCCGGGTCGACCTCCTACTCGACACTGAAGACCTCTAGATACCACTGGGACAGTATACCATCCTGCCATCCTACCACCGTACCATCCTACCACCGTACCATCATACCACCCTACCAATACACCCCACAAGGCACCTCCAGGGTCTACCACTACCACCCTCAGGAGATCTACACCCTAAAGACACTGACGTCACCCCGGAGAGGTTCCTAAGTGATCAACATAAGCTGTGTCTGGGGTTATGTTTTACGGATGAGGTGAAGTGAAGCATCATTCATTAATCTTAAGGTGGTGTGTGTGTGTGTGTGTGTGTGTGTGTGTGTGTGTTGCCTGTTGGGGAATATTAAACTGCCTGCCGAAGTATTAGGTGGTGGTGGTGGTGATGTTGAAGAGACTCCTAAAAGCCTCTCACTCTCTCCCTCTTCATTACCAAGAGCTCCTTCAAACGTCTTCCTACTCTCTTCCCTCTCCTCCCTCTCAGTCACTTTTACCCTCTCCCCCCCTCCTCCCTCTTCCCTAACCCACACCCTTTACCCAACCTTCCCAATCCCCCTTCTTACCCTATCACCCACACCCTTCTCCCCAACCAAACCTTTCATCCCTCACCCTTTTCCCAACCATGTTCCACTCACCACCCCACCCCCACCTCTCACCCCACCCCCACCCCACCCAATCCCACCCCACCCCACCCAACCCTCTTCCCCCTCCCAACCCCACCTCTCCTCCCAACCCCACCCCACCCCACCCCACCTCACCACCCTCACCCCCACCCTCATCCCCCACCCATCTACCACCAGTTAACTCAGTAATATCGTAAGAGGAGAGAGCCCAAGGAAGTAATGCATTAGTCTTGTCACACATCAGAACTGTCTAATGGAAACACCTCTGTGGTTGCTGCTTGAGTCGTTCTTTCTCCTTCAATGAAACAGAAAACGGAAAAAAAAACCCAAGAAAAAAGAAAAAATCACAATTACATTAAGTATAAAGGAAGATAAATAATAAGATGAAGTTTAGAAATAAGATGAAAATAATGGAATTGAAGTTGAGTTGTTTGAGTTAAGTAGGATTTTGAGTGGAATGGGAATCAGGAATGGGAATCAGGAATGGGAATTAGGAATGAGAATGAAGACACAACATAGCCAGAGAGAGAGAGAGAGAGAGAGAGAGAGAGAGAGAGAGAGAGAGTCAATATCACACATCCCAGTTAGCAACAACACAACAATTCTTCATAGCAGAAATTAATTAACAGTTCCACGCAGTCTGTTTGTTTGGTGATGTTTGTATTTGTGTTTTTGTTTTGTGTTTGGGTGTTTGTGTGTGTGTGTGTGTGTGTGTGTGTGTGTGTGTGTGTTTATTTTTGTTTTTCATTATATCTCTGTCTCTTTATTTTCTATTTTACCTCTCTCTCTATTATGTCACGTTCTGTACCTCACCATTATCTCACGTTCTCTCCGTTTTCTCTCTCCCCACCAGACCTTCCCTGGAACGTCAACACCTACCTGGAGCAGAAGAACGTCCTCTCGCCGCCCCTGACCGCCAGCAAAGTGAGGTTTATCCCCGTCACCGTCCACCCACGGACCATCTGTCTCAGGGTCGAGATATACGGCTGTAACACTACCGGTGAGTGTGTCTGTCTCTCTGTCTCTCTGTCTGTTTCTGTCTGTGTGTGTATGTTAATGTTATTCTTAAATGCAACTATGTCCTGAACGCAGCTTGTCAGGGTTGCCAACTTCATATCACATTTTATATTGCCGTTGTTTTTCAGTGTTGCCATAACAATATTTTTTTGACCCTGTACACGAGCAGGAGGAAAAACTGCGAGCTGGTGTTGGCAACTGTGTGGCTGACCTGACATAGGCTGGTTGGTTTACGAGGTTATAATGTGGTAGAGAATTGTTATAGAAATTGGTGTTATGAAATAGAGAATAGAACAATAGAGGATTAAACATATAAGCTTTAGCTATGTTGTATAGTAAATTATTGTATTAATTCTCAGTTTATCTCAAATTTACGATGACATTTTAGTAACGAAAAAAAATAATTGTTTTCAGAGAGGGAAAAAAATCATCACAAAATAATTAGTTTCCAAATGTTGATATTTTTCATCATCAACATTGTGTTTTTATTGTGTTGCTGTTATGATGTTACCTAAAGAACGCCACCAGCAGGAGAACATATGTCAAGTGCAGCTCCATAAGTGAACATAAGTGAACATTCGCCAGGCGTAACATCCCGGCGAAGGGGAACAATATACGTTCTTTAATGCTTCTTGATACTTGCCCCATGCTAACAAGTAATGAAAGTCCCTCTAGGCTAAACACTTGAGTTCTGTAGGGCTTGGGCGCCAGGGACTCAACATTAGCTGGAATTTTATTCGATAACATCACTTCACTAAGACCAGTTCACCCTCGAGTTGGCGCGTCTCTCAGTAGTAGTAGAGTTGGCGTTTCTCACTATGTTGCTGGGCGCGTCTCTCAGCAGCAGTGTTGTTGGCGCGTCTCAGCAGCAGCAGTGTTGTTGGCGCGTCTCTCAGCAGCAGTGTTGTTGCGTCTCAGCAGCAGTGGTTAAGTTGGCGTCTTCAGTAGCAGGTTAAGTTGGCGTCTCAGCAGCAGTGTTGTTGGTGCGTCTCAGTAGCAGTGTTGTTGGCGCGTCTCAGCAGCAGTGTTGTTGGCGCGTCTCAGCAGCAGTGTTAAGTTGGCGCGTCTCCTCAGCAGTAGGTTGGCGCGTCCCCAGCAGCAGTGTTAAGTTGGCGTCTCTCAGCAGCAGTGTTGTTGGGGTCTCTCAGCAGCAGTGTTGTTGGCGCGTCTCAGCAGTGTTGGCGCGTCTCAGCAGCAGTGTAAGCGGTTGGCGCGTCTCAGCAGCAGGCGCGTCTCAGTAGCAGTGTTGTTGGTGCGTCTCTCAGTAGCAGGTCCAAGCTGGCGCGTCTCTCAGCAGGCGCGGTTAGTTCCTCAGTAGCAGTGTTAAGTTGGCGCGCCCCTCAGCAGTGTTAAGTTGGCGCCTGCAGCAGTGTTGCTGGCGCCGCAGTGTTGGGCGCCCAGCAGCGTTGTTGGCGCGTCTCTCAGCAGCAGTGTTAAGTTGGTGCGTCTCTGTAGCAGTGTTGTTGGTGCGCCTCAGCAGCAGTGTTAAGTTGGCGCGTCTCTCAGCAGCAGTGTTGCTGGCGCTCCCCCGCAGCAGTGGTTGGGCGTCTTCAGTGCAGTGTTGTTGGCGCGCCTCAGTGTCAGTGTTGTTGGCGCGTCTCTCAGCAGCAGTGTTGTTGGCGTCTCCCAGTAGCAGTGTTGTTGGCGCGTCTTCAGCGTGTTAAGTTGGCGTCCTCAGTAGCAGTGTTAAGTTGGCGCGTCTCAGCAGCAGTGCTGTTGGCGCGCCCTCAGCAGCAGTGTTGCTGGTGCGCTCAGCAGCAGTGTTGCTGGTGCCCCCTCAGCAGCAGTGTTGCTGGCGCGCCTCAGCAGCAGTGTTAAGTTGGTGCGTCTCCTGTAGCAGTGTTAAGTTGGCGCGTCTCTCAGCAGCAGTGCAGTTGGCGCGCTCTCAGCAGCAGTGTTATTGCCCCCTCAGCAGCAGTGTTGTTGGCGCGTCTCTCAGTAGCAGTGTTAAGTTGGGCGTCTCTCAGTAGCAGCAGTGTTGTTGGCGCGTCTCTCAGCAGCAGTTGTTGGCGCGTCTCTCAGTAGCAGTGTTAAGTTGGCGCCTCCAGCAGCAGTGTTAGTTGGCGCGTCTCTCAGCGCAGTGTTAGTTGGCGCGTCTCTCAGCAGCAGTGTTAAGCTGGCGTCTCAGCAGCAGTGCTGGTTGCGCGTCTCTCAGCAGCAGTGTTGCTGCCCTCAGCAGCAGTAAGTTGGTGTCTCAGCAGCAGGTGCAGTTGGCCTCTCAGCAGCAGTGTTAAGTTGGCCCCCAGTAGCAGTGTTGCTGGCGCGTCTCTCTCAGCAGGTGTTGTTGGTGCGTCTCAGCAGCAGTGGTTGGCGCGTCTCTGCAGCAGTGTTGTTGGCGCGTCTCTCAGCAGTGCGTTGTTGGCGCGCCTCAGAGCAGCAGTGTTGCTGGCGCGCCTCTCAGCAGCAGTGTTGTTGGCGCTCTCTCAGCAGCAGTGTTGTTGGCGCGTCTCTCAGCAGCAGTCGGCGCCAGCAGCGTTAAGTTGGCGCGTCTCTCAGCAGCAGTGTTAAGTTGGCGCGTCTCTCAGCAGCAGTGTTGTTGGTGCGTCTCAGCAGCAGGCAGTGTTGGTGCGTCTCTCGCAGCAGGCGTGTTAAGTTGCGTCTCAGCAGCAGTGTTGTTGGCGCCCCCAGTAGCAGTGTTGTTGGCGCCCTCAGCAGCAGTGTTGTTGGTGCGTCTCTCAGTAGCAGTGTTAGGTTGGTGCGTCTCCCGAGCAGCAGTGTTGCTGGCGCGCCCCCAGCAGCAGTGTTGGTTGGTGCGTCTCTGCAGCAGTGTTGTTGGCGTCTCAGCAGCAGTGTTGTTGGTGTCTCTCAGCAGCAGTGTTAAGCTGGCGCTGCCCCAGCAGCAGTGTTGTTGGCGCGTCTCTCAGCAGCAGTGCGTTGGCGCGCTCTCAGCAGCAGTGTTGTTGCGCGTCTCAGCAGTGCGTTAAGTTGGTGCGTCTCAGCAGCAGTGTTGTTGGTGCGCCCCTCAGCAGGCAGTGTTGTTGGTGCGTCTCTAGCAGCAGTGTTAAGCGGTGCCCCAGCAGCAGGTTAAAGTTGCGTCTCTCAGCAGCAGTGCGGTTGGCGCGTCTTCAGCAGCAGTTGGCGTCTCTCAGTAGCAGCAGTGCGTTGGCGCTTCTCAGCAGCAGTGTTGTGTTGGTGCGTCTCGCAGCAGTGTTGCTGGTGCGCCCTCAGTGTTAAGCTGGCGCTTCTCAGTAGCAGTGTTAAGCTGGCGCGTCTCTCAGCAGCAGTGTTGTTGGCGCTTCCTCAGCAGCAGTGTTGTTGGCGCGCCTCACTAGCTTGAGGGTAACCTGTGTTGATTCCTCGGCCTCGATGCAGTGATGCATACACACACACACACACACACACACACACACACACACACAGTCACCCACATATTCTACTTGGTGACCGGGCGTGTGGATGGGTGTATGGCGGGGGCGAAGAGGGAACATGTGGGTAGAGTGGTGATGTAGGAGGTAACGGTGGTGGTGGGCGGGCGTGGGCGTGTGGGCGTGTGGGCGTGTGGGCGGACAGGTTACAACTAATGACTATTGGTTTCTTACTCTGCACCATAAGTCATATGTGAAGGTATGTATGTAAGTATGTATGTATGTATGTATGTATGTATGTATGTATGTATGTATGTATTCAAGCTGAGTGATTCAGTACACAATTGCGACTATTACTCACCGGATTCGAACCAGAGTCACGAGGTAGAGAATCGAGGGTGAAGGTGACCTAAGGTGGTACTGTGGTGGCTCGGTGGGTTACGGCGCCTCTGAGTGATATCTGATGACCGAGGTTCGAATCCCACTTAAGGTTTATGGTTATTTCCACAGTTAGTTGTGAGTTAATGAATATTCACCCACGTCATCACGGTGGAGAGAGATTGAAGGTTATAGAATAGGGGGATTTATAGAGAGAGAGAGATTAAAGATTAGAGAGAGAGAGAGAGAGAGATTGGAGGTTAAAGAGATTAGAGAGAAAAAGTAGAAATTATAGAGATAGAGAGAAGTTAGAGATATAAAGAGAGAGATTTGAGATTTTAGAGACAGTGGTGGATTAGATATTATAGAATGAGATAGAGAGAGAGAGAGAGAGACGAGAGAGAAAGAGACAATACAATACCACAGGTGCAAGATGCAACTCCTCTCAGCTCTTCATTGTGTTCGAGTAAAGACGGGTCGACCAACTACCTAATGACCTTGTTGTCTATACGCTAACGAGCCCCCACCTGCCACCTGTGTGATGATGAGTTAGGGGGCGAGGTCTGTGATTGGTCAGAACCGTGTGTTGTGTGAAAGGGCGAGGTCTATGATTGGTCAGAACCGTGTGTTGTGTGATAGAGCGAGGTCTGTGATTGGTCAGAACTGTGTGTTGTGTGATAGAGCGAGGTCTGTGATTGGTCAAACGATCAGATGGTCATACATACACTGACCAATATAAGCTCCCACTCCACCCTTTTACCGCCCACACTCACCGACACCCACCACGTACACCACCAATACCTAACCCACACCCACCAATACTTAACCTAACACCCAGCAGTCCCCGACCTTCCACCTACACCCAGCAGTACACCAGCTACACCCAACCTCCCTCCACCCACACCCAGCAGTACACCAGCTACACCCGACCTCCTCCACCTACACCCAGCAGTACACCAGCTACACCCAACCTCTCCCCACCCACACCCAGCAGTCACACCAGCTACACCCAACCTCCTCCACCTACACCCAGCAGTACACCAGCCACACCCGACCTCCCCCCACCTACACCCAGCAGTACACCAGCTACACCCAACCTCCCCCACCTACACCCAGCAGTACACCAGCTACACCCGACCTCCCCCACCCACCCAGCAGTACACCAGCTACACCCAACCTCCACCTCCACACCCAGTACACCAGCTACACCCAACCTCCTCCACCTACACCCAGCAGTACACCAGCTACACCCAACCTCCCCACCCACACACCCAGCACACCACACCCAACCTCCACCCACACCCAGCAGTACACCAGCTACACCCAACCTCCCCACCTACACCCAGCAGTACACCAGCTACACCCAACCTCCCCCCACCTACACCCAGCAGTACACCAGCTACACCCAACCTCCCCCACCTACACCCAGCAGTACACCAGCCACACCCGACCTCCCCCCCCACCCACACCCAGCAGTACACCAGCTACACCCAACCTCCCCCACCTACACCCAGCAGTACACCCAGCTACACCCAACCTCCCCCACCTACACCCAGCAGTACACCAGCTACACCTGACCTCCCCCACCCTACACCCAGCAGTACACCAGCCACACCCAACCTCCCCACCTACACCCAGCAGTACACCAGCTACACCCAACCTCCCCCACCTACACCCAGCAGCACACCAGCTACACCCGACCTCCCCCCACCCACACCCAGCAGTACACCAGCTACACCCGACCTCCCCCCACCTACACCCAGCAGTACACCAGCCACACCCAACCTCCCCTCCACCTACACCCAGCAGTACACCAGCTACACCCAACCTCCCCCCACCTACACCCAGCAGTACACTCAGCTACACCTGACTCCACCTACACCCACCAGCGGGCTCTTCTACAGCTTTTCCGTGTCCGTATATTTACAAAGTGGTGGCGGAGGCACGATAACACGTCAGCACCAGTGTTGCCAGATGGTGGTTGTGGTATTTCGGGATGCGGGGGTGTACATGACGTGTTCCTCTAAACTTACGATCTTTTGCACTTCCGACGTTTGTTTATGGTCGTGGGCGAGGATTCACAGTGACTCGTACGATGAATATTTTCCCGTAACTAAAGCGGTGGGAGAGTAACGTTCAGTACGGGAGTTAAAGTTACACTGAGACTCTACCTTTAACTAGACACCAATTAACACTGAAAGATACGCCTTCTAAATAGTCAAGTGATAAGTGACTCTATTTAATTATATCACCTTTTCTTAATTACCACCCAAAAATCTTAAGTTAATTTTTCCTGCTAAATGGTTATATTAAAACGTATTTAACTTGATTACTTCAGCTAATAAAAAATTTCTCGGAGGGTCGAAGATTAGATTTCTCTGGAAGTAGTGATGTGAGAACTTATATTATTGGCTTACAACACAAATATACTACAAAGATGGCATCAAAATGGCACAGAAACTCTATTGTATTATGAGTTATTGGAAAACAGGATCTAGCATCTTTGTAACTTAGAAATTTCTCCTGAACTTTGAGTGTATGACAAACGACAACTATTATACAAACAGGATATATAAGGAAAAACGACATTGATTTTATAGGAATAGAATGAAGTTAAACACGACATGAAGCGTAGTGGCCGAGTGAGTGAGTGGGTGTATTGTTGACATAATATGGGGGACTGAGAGACGACGACACTAAACCATTTATGAAAGTTGATATGAACCGAAATAACTGACATCACCTAGCCTAACTCTCTATGGTTATATAATTTAGTTAGATTAGTTAGGTTAGTTATTTTAGGTTAGTTATGTTAGAATAGTGTTATTTGAGTCATCTTTCATAACTGTTTTACGCCCGTGGTCTCTCAAGCAGCTAGATATCACCAATCATTTGCCCTTTGATTTTATGTGGTTATTTAAACAAGGTAATTGAGATCATATGAAGATTAGACACCCTAGCTTATTGTACCTGACGATTAAACATAATAAACCTAACTCAACCCAACTAACCTAACCTAACCTAACCTAATCTAACCTAACCTAACCTAACCTAACCTAACCTAACCCTAGTGATATTTTTTTTTCTTCTAGGTGAATAGGGTAAATGTTCTCTCAATTAGATTCAGGAGGAAAATAATAATCGTACGATCTTTTGAGAATTTGGTTGTTTTGGTAATGCAGTTAAACGATGATTTTTTTTATCCTACCCGACAATTTTCCTTCAGTAATACCGTGGTGGTGATGTACGATGATAATTTTCCTTCAGTAATACCGTGGTGGTGATGTACGATGATAATTTTCCTTCAGTAATACCGTGGTGGTGATGTACGATGATAATTTTCCTTCAGTAATACCGTGGTGGTGATGTACGATGATAATTTTCCTTCAGTAATACCGTGGTGGTGATGTACGATGATAATTTTCCTTCAGTAATACCGTGGTGATGTACGATGATAATTTTCCTTCAGTAATACCGTGGTGGTGATGTACGATGATAATTTTCCTTCAGTAATACCGTGGTGGTGATGTACGATGATAATTTTCCTTCAGTAATACCGTGGTGGTGATGTACGATGATAATTTTCCTTCAGTAATACCGTGGTGGTGATGTACGATGATAATTTTCCTTCAGTAATACCGTGGTGGTGATGTACGATGATAATTTTCCTTCAGTAATACCGTGGTGGTGATGTACGATGATTCATGGTTATGGCTACTTGGTGGGGAAACATGCATGATGGCCGATGATGGAAATGTACCACGAACAAGGCCTCGAAACCTAAATATATGTGTGGGTATATATTTTTTTCTTAAAGTAGCTGGTCCAAACGAAGAATAAATTAGGTTAAGTTATGTTAGGTTAGGTTGGTTAGGTTAGTTTAGTTTGGTTAGGTTAGGTTAGGTTAGGTTTGTCTTCTTAAAGGTGGATTTTTTTTAACATCGGCCATCTTTTATGTTATGGTGATGATGATGATGTACGATAATTAACACTTCCTTTATATGTCCTTATAAATATGGCTGTGGTTTCGGTCGTTTACTTTACGAGTTTTGTTGTGCATTTTCCTTAGATTTTAATCAATTTTTGTATATTTATTTTTTGGGGGAGACGGTTTTATACATTTTCATTATATTTAAGATATTTTTGTCCATTTTCTTCATAATTTGGTATATTTTTAACCTTTTCCTTATATTTTACTCTTTTTTGTACACTTTCATTATATATTTGGCCTCTCTCTTGTACATAGTCATTATATAATAGCCTAGACAGTAATATATTTCATTACGATAGAACGATATATATACAGAGAAGAGGAAAGTCACCATGAAGTGTCTAATATTTACATCTAAACATTACGATAATTTCTTCACCAGAGCGACAGTCATCAGCTGGTATGATGCTGATGAACGATGCCTCACCGTTAGCCAGATATATAAACATTACACTGCATTTTTGTCTACAATTAATATTTATTCTCATACAATAACCAATAATAGAGTAGTTTAGTAATAATAGATTGATAGTTAATGAGGGAATTACTCTTAGAAGGTATGTAATTGAGATAAAAGTAGGAAAATGTATAATAAAAGGCACCGTTGGCATCAATGAAGGGATGCCAGATAGTGATAAATATTGGCTGGTGTTAATTATTATTGATATGTATATAGGATTAAAAAAAAGAGAGAGCAGCTTTATGATTGAATTAGTGATTTGTAAAGGGATGTATCGTCTTTGATGTAGAGAGAGAGAGAGAGAGAAGAGAGAGAAGAGAGAGAGAGAGAGAGAAAAAATTATAAAAGTACTTGGGCATTTTCTTCCCTGGAGGACAAAGCAGGCAGGAGGGTGGGGGTAGGTAATGCTGAGGTGGTGGTGATGTATGATAACTGATGGTGGTCAAACTCTCCTGGCTGCTGCCTTGTTAAACTCTCTCCCTCTCTCTCTCTCTCTCTCTCTCTCTCTCTCTCTCTCTCTCTCACCAGTGTTACCATCTCGTGTTCGCCACATTTTTGCTTGAATCTTAAGCTTCTTACCCTGAGGCTGTGTTTACTAAGCCCTTCCCTCCCAGCCTCCCGTTAACGCTCCTGTTGCTACCGTTGATGCTACTGTTCCTCCTGTTGTTGCTACTGTTGGTCCTGTTGATGCTACTGTTGCTGAGAGACGCTACTGTTGACTTATCCTTTGGCCTTTGAAACTCCCGTAAACTTTATTGTTGTTATTAACGTCAACGTCATTAAAAAAGCTGTTGAAAACGGCATTATATAACGGTAACAACAGAAAATGTGTACTCAGGTGTTTTAAGAGTCGGGATAACGGTAACCAGCGGCAACGGTAACCACAACAACGGCGAGAAAACAACAAGCGGGAAGTCGGGAGAACTAGCGGCGCGCCAACAGTAACAACGGTAACTAATGACAACGGTAACTAATGACAACGGTAACTAATGACAACGGTAACTAATGCCAACGGGAGGATAGCAACTTCTCGGTCACACCAGAGGGGAATAATCATAAACAGACACACGTACACAAACACACATACACAGACACACGTACACATATACACGTACATCGACACACATACACAGACACACGTACACATATACACGTACATCGACACACATACGCAGACAGACGTAAGAGAGTGTGTGAGTTAAGTGATGGAAGAGTGTGTGTGTGTGGGAGAGGTGAGGGAAGACACACCTGCCGACACACACCTGCCGACACACACCTGCTGTTGTTGGAACACGGCGTCCAATATACCACGGCCTCTGTGTGTGTGTGTGTGTGTGTGTGTGTGTGTGTGTGTGTGTGTGTGTGTGTGTGTGTGTGTGTGTGTTGTGAATATTGTGTACAGTATAAATTGTATTGTTCTTATGGTGACTAATACATGTATCTTACCTGTAAATTGTTTCAGGTTATTACTATTACCTTGTATTGACTCTCCAGTTGACCCTTGTTGACCCTAGATGACTGCATGTGACTCAAATAATCCCAGTTGACACTATATGACCCCAAATGATCCTATATGACCCCCAAATAACCCTATGTGACCCATATATTACCCAAATGACCTTATATGACCTTCAATAACCCTCATATGACCCCAGGTAAATATATATCACACAGGTGGGGTGGTGAGCTACAGCGGGGTGGA